AAACAGTTTACCTTCCCCATTCCCTGGGACAAGGGTGGCTGAGGATAGCAGGTGGTGTTCCCTTCTTCTAAGGGTGCATGAGTAGGCCAAGGCGAAAGTGAAAACAGTGTTTAGGTTCATCCCTTTTGGACAGCTTTGTGACTTGCAAGCATTAGCACAAATTAGGGGAATGAGTGATTTACGATGAGTTCACCCAGAAATGCATATTGTCCTCTCTTTGCTGGTTATCCTGCATTTGGGAAGTAGAAACTGTCAGGTTAAATGACATTTCACCCCACCGTCATCTTCCTGCACTTAGTTTCCTTTCTTCTACTTGCATTGATGCAGCTAGCCATTATTTTTTGCCCCCTTCTCCTGGATGGGGTGAGCAAATGTCAAGAAGGCTTGCTATCATTTCTAAGCTGACACATTTCCAATATCATGTTTTTGTGGCAATCAGATGCAAGCAAGTGTGGGTGAATGGGGTGGAAGACCAGCTTGTAGGTCTTTGCCAGGGAGAAGAGAGGTCCTGCCCCCGTGCTGCCGCCTGCTCACCCCACGGTCCCCCATGGCTGTTTATTCATGTCACCTCCTCAAATGTCGCATGCGGAGAGGGGAGCCACAGCCCACTGCTGGCCAAGCCCGAGGTGGCCTCTTGTAACCTCCCGCTGTAACTCGTCCTCTGCCAAGGGCCTCCTGGGAGCCGGCTCCCAAGGTCTGCTCCTTCTCTCCGTCCCCAGACACATGTTTACTTGCAGATGTAAGCAAAAAGCTTAAATTTTTGGAAGAACATCCGTGGGAAGCAATTTTCTTCCTGAACTCAGCGTTACTATTTTGACACTATCCCAGGTTAATCTTTATTTCAACAATGATGTGTGGACGTTTGTGGCACTGTCTGCTTAATGTATATGTACAGCTGTCACCTAGAAAATGAACTGTTTGGTTCATAGAAACAGATCACAAGCACACAGAGATGGGAAGTTTGAAATAATAATAATATATTAATGTCATCATCTTTTAATTTTTAAAGATTTGGTATTCACTGAACAGTCAATCCCATATCTTGTGTATGTCAATCCCATATCATGTGTATAGCTAACTTTATGTTCTCTGGTTATTAATTATGTTTCATTCCTCTGCACTTCAGAAAATATTTTTTCCGTATAGATATCCTTAGCCTCTGCGAGACATGGTATTTTGAGATTTGAAAAAAACTCTATTAGTAGTATAGCACTAGGAAAATGCTCTGAATGGTGTCTGACAAAGAAATAGTTGCTGCTTCTGCAGAAAAATAGTACAGATTATTATGAAAAATGAAATTTTAGTGGAAGTTCACTAAGGGAAAAGTATTTGTTTCTTTGCGGCTCTAGCCCTCAGGGCTGTTTGTAGGAGTACTCAGAGGCTTGTGTGGCTGTGTACAACATATTTATACAGGTTGTAACATGTCTGGTTTATTAAAAACAGTTTGGGGGCATCTTGGATATTTAGCTAGTATTGCAGAATTTACATGAAATTGACTAAACTTTTTAATGCAAAAATATTAAATGCAGTTTGAATAAAAAAGGGATGATGCCCTAGCATAATAAGAATAATGGATTTGGGGAAGATTTGCTATCGAAGCAAAACTAAGAAATCTGGGAACTCAGCCTGACCATGGAAACTACTTCTCTCACCACAAATATGACATGTACATTTTATGAAACCTACTTATTACCAAGGGCCAAATTCTGTGGTCCTTATGCAAGCATAACTTTCACTGAAAAGTTCACTGAGGACGGTAGAATTTGGCCCCAAGCTATTTATTTTCCATAGAAAATTACTTCATTGGTAATTTCCTCCTCTTATATTTCTCAGTAACTGCAGAAATGTGAGCTAGTCATTTAATTTCAAGTGAATAAAAAGTTTGAGGACTCTCTGTGAAATTGCAACTTTATCTTTCAGTGTAATAGAATAAAGGAGTAGATTTGTGGACGTGATGTTTTACTTAAAGGAAAAAAAAAACCATATTTTGATAACTACCTAGACAGGAAACCAATGTAGATGCATGAGTTTTTCCATCTAAGTAAAACGAGAAAGATCTTGGGTTTTGAACTGAAGAGCAGTGACTTGGGATGTTACAAACAGCTGAATTAATATTGGACTTGTGGGATGTTTCTGCCAGCACAACACAGCCACAAGCTCACGCTGAATGAGGTCTGGGTTACTTACATTGCCCTAGCTAATTTTATTAGTATGGTGCTCAGCCTTGGCTGGTGTAATCACTTCTCTGAGGCTGATCTAACATGTCCATGCTGCACTGTACAGTGCCTTGTAGACACTTCCAGTGGTGAAGTGGAATTGGAGAATAATGGCACGGAGTACATAGAGGGCTGAGGTGAGGGCTGGGATTTGACCCTTGGGGTGTTTGTTTGGTACCCTGCATATTCAGATTCCTCAGAGAGAAAAGGGGGGGCTGGTTGGAGTCAGATGGCTGAATCAAAAGCGGCTGCTGTCTGTAATTGTGAGCAGGAGAATATCCATAGCCCATTTGCAGCCATTACATCTGGCGTCCCTTTTGACCATTTCCATTGTGTGTTCAAGGATTTAGTAGCCATGCAGGAGAAAGGACAAACCCATTGTAGCGTTTTGCCATTAGCATATGCCCACATGGTGCTTTGCCAGCAGACATGAGCAGTTATTCCCTTTCTCCTCTCTTTGCCCACCATAGCACGGCACTGAGCCTGAGCTTGGTGCTCCCAGCCGGGACAGGGCCAGCCTGCAGAGCTGTGCTGGAGCTAGTCCCATCGCTGCAGCACTGGGTTACTTCTAAAGGCACAGTTTGGAGGATCTGCCGCTGAAGTTCGTTTTTGTGAATAAACTGACAGCGTGAATTTTCTGGCGTCAGCTCTTTATGTTAGTAACTACATTTAAAACAATGAGTTTCAGGTTTTAGCTGTGATTCCAGATTGAAATTCCAGATTGAATTGCGTTACTGCTGCTCTTTGAATGTGACTTACCCAAGATTAATTTCTGAATTATGTATAAATTGTTTAATCACCTGTGAAACTTAACAACTTTAAAATTTTCATTTCATTAGCTGCAAGATGAATGTCAATTAAATGTGTTTGGAGGGCCAGAGCTCGATGACACACGCAGCAAAAACCACTGAGGACTGTTTCATTTAATGCAGTAATAATAAATACTCCACGGGCAATATTTCAGTGATCAAGAATGCTTTTCCAGTCTTTTCTATCTAGAAGTGTTTGACTAAATGACAAGATGCAGGGGGGAAGAGTAAAAAATGAGTCAGGCTTATTGCCTTAATGTAACCTTCCTGGCTGAAAATATATTAATTGGCAAAAGGAATTACCTCAGACTAGAGCATAGAAAGGCCTCCATTGTGCGCACCCGTGGCGTGAAACCTATACTCTTTGGCTTGCACGTTCTTTCCTCGGTGTCATGATCCGTCCTGTCTGATCAGCAGGCTTCAAAGTCAGCCTTGCAAGATTTATCACGCCTTTCAATTGGAAGCTTTTTCCTTCAGTCCGTTTGTGCATTAAGCCAAGTTACTTTGAAATGTTTCACAGTGAAAAACCTCCTTCCCATGTAGAAACTGATCCTAGCTTCTTCCTGCGGTACAGAGTGCTGATACTTCAGCCTGCAAGGGTTAACATGTGGGAAAATAGGTCATTATTTCTTCTTTTATACAAGAGCTCAATGCCTGGAGCCCTTGCCAGGACCACATGAGACCCAAGAGCAGAGCCTACCTCCTTCCCAGCCATAAGGCTGAGGTCCAGCAATAACTTCGGGTAACAGCGACCCGATGATCTGCTGGGTTGGAAGGACTAGAGGGGTCACACAGGGGCTGCCTGTGTTTCATCCAGAGACAGCTCCGTATAATACACTTGCCTTTGCAACAGGGACTCTAACCAGTCTCTGGTCCAAAATATTTCATTATCGTTGCTTTTTTCCCAGCCCAGCAAATGGTGACTTGTTGTATCTTTTTGATAATGAAGGGGAAAGTGACACAATCTTGGACAAAACAGGCATGGTCATAATCTGTCTTTTGACTAAAAAACTCATGCGTTTTATGCTCCACTATCACTCTATCCTTTTTGTTTTATATTCAAAGAAGGGATCAATCCTATTTTTTTCAGGGACCCTCAGTGAAGAATTTGGTTAAGAGAAGATGTCTTGCTGATTCTTGGCTGAAAATAAGTGTAATACCCTGGCAATGAACTTGTAAAACTCTTCATTGTCTTTTTTTGGATTTGACAAAAGAAAAGCTTAAGCTAATAAATGCTGAGAGATTACAAATGAATGAATAAACATGCTATTTCTCACTCGTTTGTGCTCATCCGAGTTAAGTATTAGAATAACAAGGAAGATGAAGGACATAGGTTAAATAAGTTCAGTCTTATTTCCTGTAAGCTAATATCCCATCTGAGTGAGCCTTATTTGCTGCTATAGATAGTTACACCTACGGAGAAATTGAGTCTGAACAGGGTTGGAGACTGCAACCTTCTCACCCGCTCAGAGAAGGTCTCCCCAGGTCAGGGGTGCGACTGGCAGTGGAAAAGCCATGCGGAAAGCTGGGGTTTGCCACTGTTTCCACTCTATTTGTTCTGCGGATAAATAAATTGAGGTCTGGAGTCTTCACGGCTGTCAGTGTGCCACCTTTGAACGTCTTCTCTTAGAGAAACAGTGAAGTCAACCACATGTTCAAATTGAATCTAATTGTTACAGGAAGGCTTCTGAATGGTTCCAAGGCCATCTTTTTCCACTGAGCTTGTATTACAAAATGTTTCTGGAATTAGATGGAACAAGAAAAATAACCTTTTTTTTTTTTTCTTTCACAACTTGTACTTTGTGTTGAGATGCCTTTGAAACAAATCTGACCCTGTCCTGCATGTTGAATTGGCTTTCTTGCTCTGTGAACTGTGACATGCTCAAGTGCTAGGCTTTAAATAGGGGATGGCAGACCTCGGATTAGTATGGTGGTATTTGTAACCTCTAGCATTTTGTATCCCGCTTTCCCGCAGGGTCTCCTGCCCTCACTGGCACTGGAACCATTGCTGTCATGGTGGATGATGTCAATGACAATGTCCCCACATTCGCCTTTAATGTGTATTCCGCCACTGTTCTGGAGGATGCACCTACAGGGACAGATATTTTGCTCGTAAACTCCTCAGATGCTGATGCTTCTACAAATGCAGTTATTAGGTAGGTCATTTACTACTGCTGTATGTAATACTGCCTCGTACCTTGCCTGAAGATTCCCCCCCCCCCCCCTTAGTGTCCATCACCAACATACCATAAAGCTCTGAGACACAAAGTGACAGCTGAATATGTGTAGCTAAATTATTTTAGCAAATCTGACTCTTTTCGTGTTGTTTATAGGCTTTTAGAATTGTATTAAGGACAAGTAGAGTTGCAGTGTTATTTTAGTTTTTTACTGAGTGAAAAACAAATGAGTTTAACTTTCACTTGAGTGTAAATGTGAATAGGCTAGATATGTATTTCTCAATGGGTGTAGAGGTAGATGAATTAAAAAAATAAAAATGAAAGAAACCCTGATGAAACTCCAAATAATATCAAAAATGGATTAAGCCTTTCAGCTTGCAGACTTTATATATATTCTCTTTGTAAAGAAATATGATGGTAGGCAGTGAATGATCATCATTACTGACTGCTGTCAGGTTGTATAGCTTTCGTAAGGGCTTTTGCCTTCTATTCAGTGTAGCTTTTAGAATTGAGGCCTTGTAACAAAGGATATAGTTCATAGGTACAATACAAATCCTTTAAAGTGTATTCCTGAAGAAGCTAGAAACTATTGTTCTTGGAGGCTGACAGGCTTATTAAATCTTAATCGAAGGGGCTTTCAGGAAGGGCTTGCTGGGGAAAGAAAGATGTACTTTTCAAATGTCAATATCAAATATGCTGACTTTGGGGCAGAGGTTTTTGTTTGGTTGGTTGGTTTTTAAAACACACTTATGTTTATATGAAACCACTCACCCTAAAAAGTATAGAATATATTTTGTAGCTTAAGTCATCTTTAAACTTGAATTTTCAAGCTAGGCAAATCTAGAAATCAGTATCACTTTTTTGCCTAAAAATGTCCAAACTAGTGGATAGTGTTAAGTATCCACTTATATGTATAATATACATATGTTTGGGGAAAGCTTCAGTTTCTTATTTTGCACCTTAAATGGCTTTTCAAACCTAACCATAATTTAAATGACTGTTCAAACAAATTTGGATGCATTTATAATAAACTAGCCAAGCAGATACAATAACAGCCTGCATGTTAGTACACG